TTTGCTCCCCAAGGAAAAATGAAAAGAATGTAGAAGATTTGAAAGTAGACGGACCAAATAGAGTTGCCAGTAAATAACGTTCATTATATTATAGTTGAGTTTTATTTTTATTTTATTTTATTTTTATTTTTTTTAAGTTGAGTTTTATTTTAATTGTTGTTTATTTGTGTATTATTAAATAATTTTTAGTTTTTTTAAAACAAACTTTCTTGGTTGGCTAAGGGGACGGTGGTGTAACTGAACTGAACGAGCCGAGCTTAAGTATTTCGAGCTCGTGTTTGTTTGTTTATTATTTAAGAAAAAAAATTCATGTTGGAGCTCGTTCTTCTAACTATCCGTCAAAGTTCGATTTGTTCGTATTCAAATAACGTAGTAAACAAGCTTATCAAAATTATTTTATTAACTCGAGATCGGTTAGTTCGAAACCATTTGGGCTCGAAAATAAAATTACAAAAGTAATAATAAAAAATTCACATCGTACAATATTTTATGAAATATAATCATGAATTTACCATAATGTTTGTGATTGAATTTACCATAATTTTACCTCTAACGTTCATCCTTTCTTGAATTTGCAAATGGATATGTGTGGAATTTGGCGCTTTCTATTTTCGGCTTTTGAGATAAAAAAAAAAATGGATGAAAACCTCAAAGAAGGCCTTCAAAATGTGATGGTCCTCACACGAATCTGATTCCTGCTGCCAATATTTAGTCCTCCGAGTTGACTCAGTTTCCATCTTTACTGTTTTATTGTTTAGAACGGCAAACACGCTGGCAAACTAAGCACGCACAGTAGTAGTGAACTTGGTTGCAAACGGGACTTGTAAGGTGACCATGATCCCATGTATAACATAATTTCTCCTACTAAAAGAAATGTATTTTTCAAGAAAAAAATATCATATCCATATGAAATAGATCTAAAAAATGTTGAATAACCTTTACTTGAGTAAAAAATAAAATTAAAAAATGGTAACATAAAGAGTGATCGGTCTCAACAACAATAAGAGAGTTAAAATAAGTATTTATATAGTTTTGACTCACAAGACAAAATGATCATATTGATTGAATATAACTGATAACCATTTATTTTATTTATTTCATTTGATCTTAAATTTGAGGTTATATAAAAGTTGGTATGGTCATATTGATTGAATATATCTGATAACCATTTGTTTTATTTATTTCATTTGTCATAAATTTGAGGTTATATAAAAGTTGGTGAAAAGTGACAACGCTTAATTTTTATAATAAATACAGAATTATACAACTAAAAATTTTATAATAAAAGTAGCATAATGTGTCAATTATTGTTTAACTTTTGTTTATAAACAAATCTTTTTTTTTTTTTTAATGAGAGAATGAGAGTATATTATCCCAACTCAATGTTGTAGTGATAAAGTTAAACACAACTTATTATAATGAATCCACTATTTTTTCCTTATCATATATCAAAACATTAATTTCACAATAATTCGTTTTTAATATATTTTATATAATATAATTTAATTTATTTTTCGTATTACTTTACAAAAAAGTTTGTCAATTTTTATTTCTAAAAATTACACTGAATTATCATTTTCACCAATTTCCTGGAAAAATAAGTACTTTAATATATTACAGTTCTCATTATTTTCATGCAATAATAATAATAATAATAATAATAATTAACAATAATAATAATAATGATAACAACAACAATAATAATAAGTATTTTAAAAAATACACAATTTTACAGCAAAAATTTTTATAAATAAAAATAGCATAATGGGAAATTATCATTTAATTTTTGTCCTTATCAAAAATGTTTTTTTTTTTCCATAAGAGAATGATGAGATCATATTATCACAATTGAACGTTGCAGTAGATAAAGTTAGCCACAAACTTATTATAATGCATCAACTACTTTTTCTTTATCATGTATCATAATGTTAATTTTATTTTATTTCTTTTAGATTTTATATAATATAATTTCAATTTTTTTTATGTATTACATTACAAAATTTTTCAAAGTGTTAATTTTTATTGGTTTTATGCACAAATAAGTATTTTAATATTACATTGAATTACATTTCTCATGAATTTCATGAAAAAAATAAATATTTTAATATTGAGTTAATAAGTCTATTTATGACTTTATGAAAAATGATCAATCTTTCACGTCATTCTATAATCACCATCACGCTTATTTTGTGAAAAAATATGTTGAGATTTATTTTGTTAATAAAAAGTAAAAAAAAAATATGTAGACTTAATTTAAATTAAATACATGCAGATAGAAGTCATTTTATTTTTTATTAGATATTTTATTTGTATTATATATTTGAATTTTTTCATCTTCGTACATGTTAACATTAATATCAATATTAATTTATTTGTACAATAGTAATCATTACTTTATTTTCTTTTTGAACCATGAAAATTATGTTATCACATATACATTTTTATGAAAATTTTTGAAGAAGTGTCGTTAATGTGACCAATAATTTTTTTTCATTGGTATATCACATATTTTTCTAAGCTTAAAAAATTAACTTTAAATTTTTTTAAAATGAATTATATTGGATTTTACAATTTTTTTTTTTGTTAATTGTATTGTTTCTAGAGTCACGATCCATGTTGCCTAATTATTGTTATTACTATTGGTGATAACAAACACAGATCACCTATTATAGATGTTGTATTTGTGAAAGTATTTTTAAATAAATTAACGAAAATTATTCTACATTATCTCATTAAATTTTTTAAAAAATATTTTTCTATTAAATTTTCATTCATTCACACAATTTTTAATATTAGGCCGCGCAACACGCGGGTAACGTACTAGTATGCTTTTAAAAGGGGACAGTTAGTCTAAATTAACTTATTAAAAAAATTAACTTATAAAAATAATTTAGTTTATGTTTTTTTCTCAGTAGCGGTCTTGATATTGTGCTAAGATGACGAGTCGATCGGATAATTTTAATTTATTTTTTCCCGAATTTATTGATGATGTAAATCCATCAATAAGCAATACTATTATTAAGTATTTAAACTTCTATAACATTTATAGAAAAAGAATCTTTGCTTTAATTCTCAAACAAGGAAGAATTTATTCCTTTTTGAGAAAGAAGGATAGGATGATATAATATTAGGTACTTTTTTTTTTTTTTTTTTTTTTT